ATAAGTGCTTGGCACATGATGCCATTGATACGCATCAGCGGTGTACGATGGCTGAGGGTCCTGGAAGGCGTACGTTAGCCAGATGCTACTGATGACCGCACGACGGTTACTGACTCCATATGTCGACGCTATGGGCAATTGCTCGTGCCATGCATTGGAGGCATCTACTGTTATGCGATTGTTGGTACCCGTCTGGTGCTTTCCCCCTTGGGCAAGCTGCACTAGTTGCTGAGTATTATGCCCTTCGGGCAACATGGCAATAGGTGCCTGTTCACGGTCGGCGGATCAGCTATGGTGTTCGAGGCTGGGATGCACACGTGTATAGATGTCACCTGTATTGGTATCCCACCAGCTTGATCTGATGGGAATTTGGAAGCATGTAGTCCGGCAAAGATGGCGCCAAAGTGGGCTTGCCCCTCTCGGTAGGCGTCCCCCTGTAAATCATCACGATTGTGTCACCAGCAAGCGTGAAAGTATCGCAAAAGAAGCTCACCTGAACATAGTGCTGTAGCCCGACGTGGGCTTCTGGCCGAGTTAGTATCTGCTGCTGCGTTCGGATGCCAGCAGTGGCGCTGAGTCGCGACTCTGACATTGCCGTTATCGACCCTGCATTCATATGGAGTGGACCCCGGTAGAGAGCGAGGTCGTTTGGTACTTCATTGAACATGTCGACGGAGAAAACGTCAAGAGCAAATGCGTGACAAGTCGAAGAGCGCTGTCAGAGAGTGGAACGGTAGAGCAGGCAAAATTCTCCCCAGAAGGACTGGGTTTTAACATGGTTCGACGATGCACCACGGCCACACCGTGTGCAATATGCCCACGACTATCGGACGAGGGACAATGGGGAACAAGCAGCGTTCCAAACACGAGAACACATGGTCTAGACATGCATCACGGTCAATAACGCACAGCGTCACCACGCGCCCTCGCTACTGACCGGAGTATATAGCAGGTATTTACACAAATTATGCAGGATATGGCAAGTTTGAACCGGGATGGCAATTAATGAGCCGCAACACGAGGAGTCTGGAACAGTGCTCGCTTACAATACTGGTTCTCACAAGCAGTGATTGGCCAATTCATGGAACAATGCAGGCTCTGGATGGTCGAATTCAGACCGATGACGGAGGCGTCCAGAGAGAAATCCTCTGACGCTGTATCAAGTGGCCTACATCAGATGCGGAGGGCCATCATACTCTTGCTGCCTCGCCGCGAAGAAAATTAGTGTGACCACACATGCTGAGTGTTCTCCGGCGAAGACCAGCCCGGCCTATTGAGCTAACGACCGACTCTATGAGGAGATCCCGTTGATCCGACACACACCTTATGGTATCGTCAGCCGTGGTCTGCTAAACCGAATTTTGTCCACCATAGCGGCATTTCCTAGCCACGGCGCTCGACAGTTGCGTACGAATGCAGCGTTCCGAGCTTGCAACATATCTCCGAGTCCCCCACCCGTGTATGTGAGTATACTTATCCGATAATCCTCTCCTCCACAAGAAAGGGTTGTTACATCGCGAAGGGACGATCAGTTCACAGAGTGACCCCGGAAGTTTGAGCCAAGACGAGGGAGTACCTCCGCCATAGGACTAGCACGAAGGGAGACGTCGAGAACGCCAAAGTTCCACGTTCCTTGGGTCTCACTCAAATCGGCTGCGTACTGAGTGAGCTAAATTTTGAGAGCTCTGGGGTTGCTCTGGGGCCTGGGGTCGTTTTGCTGGCCGGATGGGCTGTGGCTCAAAAGTGGTTGAAACGAGGACACTCCCGGCCTCGCCGGACCGGGGTAAATCGCGATCACGTGCACTCAGCATTCATGGGCGCTCGTCTGATTTCGGTCGCGTCGCACAAGTTCAACTCGGTAGTCAAAGACAACTGCGACATCCACCACTCGTGCACACTGATCCTCACAGACCTCATCTCACGTTCCATTCAGGCATCTCTGTGTTTATTTACCCATCCTTCCGTGGCAGAAATCCTCGAGACACCCATCCACCGACTTCAAGAATAAGATGCTCAGCCAACGCCCGCTCGCATTCGCGGGAGAGAACCAACATGCGCACCCCGCGCACTTCAAGACACCCGGGAAGGGTCTGCGCAAGGAGAACGCGCTCGGCCTTGGGGGACCCACGACCGTCCACGGCAAGGGCAAGGCCGCACAGACGCCTTTCCACTCCGCGCTCCGTATGTCCTCCGCTTGCCACAAGCTGTCGCCACGAACTAATAGCTCCCCCCTCTCTCATTGTCCCTTCGCAATTGGAAACCATACATGATATTAAGAGCCAAAAACAGCCGCAAAATCTGGCCTGGGCGTGAAACCCATCCTGACCATCTCGCGCCCGCTCCTCGACAAGACACCCTTCCCGAACCGCGTGCAGCCCGCCCCCGCCCGTTCCCCCGCCGCACACAAGACGCCCTGCCCGCAAAAGGCCGCCAAACCCGCCTTCTTGCTCGCCCCCGAGCAGGCGCAGACACCGGGGGCGGCCCTCCGCCCGAGCTCGCTGCGCAAGAGCCTGCGCGCGCCGCGCAGCGGGGGCAAGCCCGCGCTTCCATCAGGGGGCGGAGTAAGAGAAGGAGAGGGCGTGGCGTTCAAGACGCCGCTGACGCGGGGGAACCATTGGGATGTGAGCGACGGGGACGTGAGCGTCGGCGCGGGCGAGCAGGCGGAGCTTGAGCTTGCGCTGGGTGGCGCTGAGGTCGAGGAAGACGACGATGAGATTGAGTACATGCCGCCGAAGGTGGCTGGTGCGTCTGTCATATTTTCTGCTCTGGACTTCCGTATTAACATGTGGGCGACGTGGCGCAGAGCAACCGTACGAGCCGTGGTTCGAGATGCCGGACTACAAGCAGTTGGGCGCAGGGCTGCGCCAGCTGATGTATACGGACCGGTTCGACGACACAGCGGACGTGTATTTTGGGCAGGACCTTGACCTGCAAGAGATTGACACCGAGGAGCTGTTGCGTGAGAGCGGCGCGGGGTGGGAGCAGCTGGCGCTGCCTGAGCTCGGTACGTCTTTCCCTTATGCTCGTTCATTACTCTCGCAAGTAGAGATTGGCTTACGACGTGCATCACAGAGGACGACAGCCCGTTCGCGCGGCCCTCACGGTTATCGCCATCGACATCTGAACAACAGCCACAGCCAGAAGCACCACCCAAACCTACCCCGACCCTCCGCACGCAGCCTTCCCGGACAACACGCGCCCCGGCACCAACACCTGCGCCGGTACCGGCATCCAGGCCCGCCACGCGTGCGTCTTCCCGCCTCGCCACTGCCGCCTCGAGCACGAGCACGAGCACAACAACTCTACGCAGGCCCGCGACGCGTAGCACGGCGGCGGCGGGGGGAGCAGCGCCTACGACACGCCCAGCAACGCGGAGTGCAGCAGGCCGGGTGACACGGAGCGCGACTAGTGTTGCGGCTGAGGTTGCGGCGACGCGGAGTAGGTCTGCGCTAGCGCGCCCTGCAGTGAGTCAGAGCAGCCGTGCAGAGGGAGACCGAACGGCGCGTAAGGCGACGGTGGAGCCCCCGCGAGATCTACTGCTTGTGTTTGAGCATGAGACAGGGCTGGAAGAGGATTTTGCGTTCGAGGTGTAGTAGAAGAGTCGGACTTGGTTCACATGTTGATGTAAGTTCGCTGTCGCGTGTTGTTTTTCGTCGATTTGCATGGCATCTTTGATTTGTAGCTATCACGCTCGGATGATTGTTGGGTGCGGTAGACCCGGGATGTCTTGTATTACGCATGAGAGTGCATATATGCGCAACGTATGCACGCACATTAAGCAATGTTCAGCGATGCAACTAGTCGATTGACACAAGCGTACTCGTACACCCATGCTACTTTCTTCCGGCAAATCCACCGCGATAGGTATGCCTCTCCCATCTCCCATCTCCCCTCTTCCGCATTACTCGTCGTCGTCCGCGAGCTGGAGGCGCTGGGGGACGATCTCGATCCAGTAGCCGTCGGGGTCGAGGATGAAGGCGATGTGGCGCATGGAGCCGTCGGTGAGGCGCTTCTTGAAGGGGACGCCGAGCGCCTCGAAGCGCGCGCAGGCAGCCTGGACGTCCGGGACGGTGATGGCGATGTGGCCGAAGCCCTTGCCCGGCTCGGTGTTCCCCGAGGCGTACCCCGCGAAGGACGCGTCCGACTCGGTGCCGTGGTTGTGCGTGAGCTCGAGCACGCCTGGGGTGAGTGGGTGAGTGTGGGCGCGTGGAGGTGGAATGGAGTAAGAGGGGAAAGGGACGGACCTTCGCGGTTGAAACGCGAGTTCTTCTTCTCGCGGTCGGTGAGCGTGCCGCCGGAGTGGTCGTACGCGAAGAAGTAGAGCGTGAAAGACTCGAACTTGGCCTCTGCACTCAGCAAGTATCGGCAGTGTGAGCGTCGCGATGTCTCATGCTGCACGAATTAGCGACGCACCCGAGAGGAGTTCCATGCCGAGCACCTGCGGATTGACGGAAGTGTCAGCGCTGGCGCCGCCGGATCTGTGCGAGACACGCGAGAGGGTCGCGGGAGGGCTGTTTACGTACCTCTGTGTAGAACTGGATGGATCTCTTGGGATCCTTGATGCGAATCATAGTATGGTTGAACTGCCGTGAGCGACGTGAGCATCGTCAATGTTTGGTGTGTTCATAAAGTTATGCATGCTGTATGCGTACCTGGTAACCAGCGGTCTCTGCAGAGCGAGTCATGGCGGGCAGTATGAGCTAGGGCGAGCTCGGGGAGGAAGACTATGTCTGTGAAGGAGGTAAGAGAGGAAAGAAATCTGAGGGTTTAGCGAGGCTTGCTGAGCAAGCACAGAGCTTTCGAGAGGCCGCGAGAGAAATACAGTATGACGCAACCACATGCACATGGGATCGACAACATTGATTATCTCCTACTACCGTGATTGTGCCTTGTGTCTGTGCATATTCTATATTCTATATTCTGACAGCGCGATGCGAGAAAAAGGTGAGCTTGTCACCATCGACAGGTTGCAGGCTGCCATGCAGATGAAGAAAAATTAACGACACCAGTGAGATTTGAACTCACGCTCCCATAGGGAAACAGATGTTCGGAAGACGGCCAAATGTACCACCGTTCGAATCTGTCGCCTTAACCACTCGGCCATAGTGCCATACTGAAATTTTGCGCACGGCACATTCTGAGAGTGCACCATTGGTAGACACCCGTTCTGCCCGCCCTGCTTAAGCAGTGACCTCTCCCAGTTCTAACTCGTCCAATACAGCACCGCAATGCCACTACAAAAACGCCCTCCGTGCCAGGTTTGCTGCGCGAACGAGTCAAAGTATACTTGCGCGAAATGCATGGTGTTATAGTACTCTTCCTCCCCGCACTGCGTGTCCAAGCCCGACTAATGTGCGGTGCCTCCTAGCTGTTCTATCCCCTGCTTCAAATCGCATAAAGGTGAGAGGCATAACAATCTGCTCGTATCGCGGAGGCTCACGGAATGCTAGAAAACTCGTGCCGACCAGATGCATCAGCGAATGCGACAAGTGACCAGGCGCCACAGCGTACTCTGCTAGAAGCCGGCGCAACAGACGGTACGCAGAGTCTCTTCTTCCGGCGGTACGAGCCTGAGTAGTCGGCTATAGATGTTCCAACGGCGAGCACGTCCACTCCCCCAACTCCGCCTCCGCCACCTGCAGACCCGCGGCCCATAACTCCCCCGCCTGCCCTCCGCCCGCTCACCGCGCTCAACTGGCCGTACGTCCCTGAAGAGTCCGCGTTTCCCGATCCGCTCAAGCGCGACGACCCCAAGATGCTGCAGCTACACCAATATGAAGCTATCGGTGCGTCTGCTCACTCTTCTACTTTCATCCTTGCATCTGACACGTCCCCCGGCCCCTCCGCATCCCTGCGTATCCGCGTCCCGCCCTGCTCTACCAACGTCCGCCCTACTCGATCTAATTCCCGGCACGCCACAGCTACGTCCCCTTCGATCCGCCGCATCCTCGCAGCGCACCCACAGCTCAAGCCCCTCCTGCGCAACATCGACGCGCTCCGCGGTCCTTCTCGCGAAGACGCGCTCCAGCGCGCGCTCGGCGTCTCCTCTTCCCCCTCCTCTGCGCCTCCCTCCTTCGCGCCCGGATCCGCGCGTGTAGACGCGTCGCTCGCGCAGCTCGGCGTGCAGTCTGACGAGGATACACGCGTGCTGCGTGAGCTCGCGGAGGCGGTCGAGGCGGCGGTACGTGGGGGGCGCGAGGGCGCGCTGGGGCTGGACTGGGGAGACGAGCCATGAACTCGAGTACGATTTACGGGAGGGGCGCCGGGTGGATTGGTCCCGGACATCGTCCGTGCGCATGTATGACCGCGCTGTATGCCAAAGAGGTCGCCGTACGGCCCTAGGGCTGCTTTGTGGTGCCCAGCGCACCAAGCGAGCCGGAGCAAGCCGGAGCGTTCGTCGTGGTACCTAGCAGTGTAGACGCGGCGGTGCGGTAGAACGAGGTGTTACAGTGTACGATGATACAGCGAGCATACAAGAGGAAAATGTGCACGAGGGGTCAGTACGTATAGAGCTACGAGGATACGGCGTGTCTATTATGAGCAAGAAAAACTAGATATGCAGCGGCGCGACCGCGACGTCCGTCCGCGCGTATCACGACATCTCTTCGTCCGAGTCCGAGATGTATTCCTTGCTTTTGCTGTAAAACCCAAACATATCAGCTCCAGCCCAACTAACAAACTTCAAACAAAGAAAGAACAATCCACTCACTACATCTGCTGCCTCTTCCTCGGCGGCGCACTCGGCTCGCCCTCATCTTCATCCGCCACCGCCCTCTTCTTCGCGCGCTTCTTCGTCGGCTTCCCTACCCCAGCCCCTCCACCGGCACCCGCGTCCTCCTCGTCGTTGCTAAACAGCGCCTCCTCCTCGCCCTCGCGCTCCTCACCGCGCTTCAGCTTGCCGCGGCGCTTGCGCCTCGGCTCGCGCTCGCCATCCTGCTCATCCGCGCTGCCCTCTGCGCCGCCGCGCGACTTGCGGCTCGAGGCCTTGCGTGTGCGCCGCTCGCGCTCCTCGTCGCTCTCCACGCGCATGTCCCGCGTCCACGCGAGCGCCTCCTCCCGCGCGCGCCGCCGCTCCTCCGCGAGCTTCTCCGCCTGGACGCGCAGTTCCTCCTGCCGTGCGCGCTGTAGTGGGTACGTCAGTATCAGTACCACCTCACACGACGCTCGCTCAAGTCACGATAATGGGATCGGCGAGGAGTCGAAGTAAGGAAGGTGGGGGATAGGACAGGGGGACAAAGAGGAAGACAGGGGGATGAACATGGTGAGGAAAGCGGTACACACCTCCGCGGCCTCCTGCCGCTCGCGCTCCTCCTGGCGTCGCTGCCGCGCCGCTTCGAGCTTCGCCTGCGCCTCGGCCTCCCACTGACGCTGCGCCGCGAGGTGCTCGTCGCACCGCCGCAGCATGCTCTCACCGTACTTACGCCGCTGGTCCGCGATCTCGCGGCTGTACGGGATCACCGGCGACTCGTCCTGCGCGAGCGACGCGAACAGCCTGGAGCGCCATTACGGTTCAATTGTGCGGGAGAAGGAAGAGGGGAATAACGTACTTCTGTGCGTGTCCGGCTTGCTCGATCGCGCGCTCCAGCTCCTTGAGCGAGCGCTTCGCGGGAGGTACAGACAGCAGCATTTCGGCTGCCTTTTGTTGGATCATGGCGATATTGTACAGGATCGCCTTGTCCCACGGGTGCAAGTGATATGCCTGTGCTCGCTGTGTTAGACTGGGAACGTTGCTCTCGAGGCCGCGCGTACCTTCTGTGCGTACTGTAGTGAAGTGGCCATCGCACTGAACGACTGGTCCTTATTCGCTTTTGCGTACCACGATCGGCAAAGGTAAAGTAGGACGGGAACATCTTGGTTGTTGTAGAACCGTTTCGATGCTGTCTCGTACTACGGAACCCATCGTGAGCACTAACCAGCGAGTACGACAATAGAAATGACCTACGCTCTCAATCGCCCGGTCAAACTCGTCGCGCGCATAATAGCAATGGCCCATATTTGCATACACGCTCCCGTCGTTGATCGACTCCCTGACTTTCGCAAAGATGTCCAGCGCATCCCGCGCGTCCTTGATCCGCTTCTGCGCCTCGTCAGGGCCCATCGGACCCAGACTCCCGCCGAGGTTTCCCAGCGCATCCTCTGCGGTGACGATTGCAAGGCCCTGCGCCGCGACGGCGCACATCGGATCGAGGTGCAGCGCCTTCTCGTAGAACTCGGCCGAGCGCTGGAAGCCGCGCTTACGTTCCTGCACGCCCGGCGGCGAGCTGTCGCGGCTCTCACGCGCCTGGTGGTACTGGATCCACCCCGCCGCGCAGAGCGCGTAGAGGTCGTGCTTGTCGTGGTCTTTGAGCGTGGAGAAGACGAAGTCCTTTGCGGGCTTGGGCGTGCCAGATTGAATGAGGAAGTGGGTGTAGAACGCGCGGATGTTCAGGTCGCTTTTCTGCGAGACTAGCGACTGCTTGATGAGATCGTGTGCTTCGTCCTTGCGGTTCATGTCGGCGAGCACGCGCGCCTGGCGAAGCTTGGCTGCAGAACGAAATCCATACATACACAGGGAAGCAAGACATGGATCAGACTCACCGTCAACATACTCGGGATGCCTGTTCAGAAGCTTCTCATACGCGTCCCTTGCCATGACAATCTCGCCCTGATCCTCGTAGGCTCTCGCCAGGTTGTAGAGGATCGACGTTGACATGCCTTCTGCGACAGCTGGGTCCAATCCTGCCGCATCCGTGAGGGCCTTCTCGTATAGCGATCTTGCCTGTGATGCATCGCCCTCCAGGTGCTTTAGTACTGCAAGGTTGTTCACTATCCGTGGGTCGGCGCGCCCGCCGGCCTCACTCAGCCGCGCCGCCTCCTGGTATGCGCGCTCCATGCGGTCGTTGTTCTCGCCCTGCCAGAGTTTTGCGATCTCGACGTGCAAGTCCACATCCTGCGCGACTTTACGCTGCGAGCGTGTGAGCGGCGTGCTCGATCCATTGGCAGTCTGTGAGTGCGGGTCTTCAGGAAGGTGCAGGATCCGGCAGACGCGTTCGAGAAGCTCGCGCGCACGCTGCTTCTCCTGCGCTTGGTCCGTGCTCGACACTCCGGGTCGTGGGTGCGCACGCAGCGACGCGAGCATAGCGATCGCCTCTGCAGAGCGCTCGCCGCTTGGTTGTTGAAGAAGAGTGTCAAGGGTGTGAATTGCTGCTGGGATTTCGTCTGTACAGAGTCGAAATGAGCACGAGAGATCAGCATTTACGGAGAACATAGATACCGTTCTTCAGCTGCAGCTGTGCAATGCCTACAGATGCTACAATGTTGGGCTGGGAACCTTCCTTAGCCTTGGCATAATGTTTAAAGGCGTCTTGTGCTATGCCTTCTGCCTGAGTGATTCGACCCGCCCGAATATAGCCTTCGCTCAGTAATGTCTTCGTGTCGGCAAACTGGATAACACGCTCTGCCAGCTTCTCGGCCTGCCAAGGAGTAGTGAGCTGCCGTTCGTAGCTGTCATGAAAGATGGATGCATACTCGTTTATACTGACCCTTCTGAATGGTCAGTTCACATAGAACATTCGCCGCAGCAGCATTGGTCTGGTTAGCCTTGAAAGCCCGCTCAACGAAGCGAGTCCCCAGTAGGAACTCGCTCAGACGTTCCTCCTCTGACTGATTCTCGTTCTTGCTGGTGTTGATAGCTTCGATACCGAGCAGTAGTTGAGCTGGCCATTCTGAAGGGTTCTGCAGGTGCATGGATGATGACTACTGTAAATCAACGAATTTAAGCTGCCGCTCTACATACCACTTCCACGCTGCGCTGCCACGCAGCTTTAGCTTTCTCCTTCTGACCCATAGCCCATAGACAAAGTCCGATACCGATCCGAGGATCTGGGAGACACTGTGGGCTTAGTTGTAGAACTCGCTGGAATAGCTTCAGGGCTTGTGGGTACTGGCGGGTGGCATACAGAATTTTCGCCTGTAATACTACAGTCAATGGCGATCGGGTGGACTAGCTGACACGACAGACCTTGCCAAGCAATGCCACGATGTTAGTTGGCTTCTGCGCCAGTACTGATTCAAAGGAGCGCTGCGCTTCACTCATCGATCGCTTGCTTAACTGCAAGATACCTGCGGGCA